CTGCCAAAATTTCACCTCCACAAAGCCCCTTCAAAAAGAAACCATCCAATCCTATCACATGCCTACATAATTTGAAACTTTCCTTTCATCCTTCATAGCATATGTAAAGCCTTTTAAAAAATGGTCTCTGATCATCAATATCTTCTGGAGCAGGTTCAACATTTATCTTAACTATTGACCTTGGATTGGCTCTTATCAGTTCATGATAATAGTCATATATCCTAGTGTAATCACCTAAAAAGGAACCATCAACCCTATTCCTTGCAGCCACTCTTGCTCTTATTTCTTTAGTCTTGTTTACACCTACATTCCACTTCCTCAATTCCTTTTCTTTAATGTCCTGGATCTCCAACCTAGGGTTGTGTTTTAATGCATTCTGAATCCTCTTGCTCAACCACTTTGTGCATAACATCACTACAAGAAAAAAAGAGATTTACGACACATAAATTGCGACAGTTCCCACAAAACCGTCCTTATTCCTGAATTGCGACAGTTGTCACGACGGTTAGGCTCAACCGTCGTAGATTTTCAAGCATTATGAGTAACATAATTGCGACAGTTACCAAAAAACCGCCCTCTTTTCACATTCGCGACAATTAGGTGAATTGTCGTAACTACATTAGCCAATCATAATCGCTACTTTTTTTTATTCTTTTACTTTCCCACTTTTTTTCTTTCATTTCCCCTTCTTTTTCTCTTTTATTAATAATAATAATAATAATAATAATAATAATAATAATAATAATAATAATAATAATAATAATAATAATAATAATAATAATAATAATAATAATAATAAATTACCAACAAAATAAATTTTCACACCCATCAATATTATTTTAAGATTTTCATAATTTTATTTATTAAATTACAATTTCCTTTATATTTTTCTTCTTTATTACGATTTCACTTCTTTTCTCAAATTTAAGCATTATTTTTATTTCATATTTTTTTATTTAATAAAACAAATAATAAAATAAAAAAGAAAAGAAAAAAACAAATTTTTCGTTTGATGAAATAGAGCTAGGGTTAAGAAGTTGTTTCATCTTCTTCTTAAAACACGACTTCCTCTCCTTCTCAAAATCGTGGCCGCTCTCACCACTGCTTATTCTGTTCCGGCGCTGTCTCTGTCACCTTGCTCCGTTCATCACAGCTTCAGTCTGCCTTCGACAATCAACAGAAACGCTTCTCCGATCTCTTCTCTCGAATCTCTCTGTTAATGCCTCCGATTCCGTCTATCATCTTCGCTTCGAGCCTTCGTCAACTCCTCCATCGCTCTGTCAAAGTTCAACCATCTTTCTCTCTTCGCCTATTCAAATCGATGATGAGCCACTTCGCAACGCCTCCACACGCCCTCAGAATCTTTCATTGGTAATTCATCTTCTTCAAATCTCTTCCACGAATTTGCTTCTTGTTTTTACTACAGTGTTATATGGAATTATTGTCCTGTGTGATTTGAAAATCATTGAACATGATGATGATGCAGTTTTGATGAAGTATGCGTGATGTTGATTATCGTTGTTGAGAAGCCGATTCGGACTTGTTGATGAAAATGATTTTGTGTAGAGAAGCAGTTAGAGAGTGAGTTTTGGAGAGATGAAGTTCTGAGAAGAGTTTCGGATGTGTGCAGAACGAATTGTTGAAGTTTTAGAAGTGAAATCGTTGAAGACTCATAGAAGATTCTTAAAGCTACATAAGATGAAAAGTTAAAGGTACCTCTCCAAACCCTAATCGCACCAATTGGGTCAAATGCGATGAAGACAGTAAGTTGAAGCGCAATTCATGACGAGGGCATGGCTTAGGCTAAAAAAATGTACACGGCTTGTTAAAAGACTCGTCAGAATTAAGTGGCTATGAACTTTCCGGTGGGATTACCCAGATTTCAGCGAGGTCTCACTGATTCTGGCAGCTTCAAAAGGTAATCTTTTAAATTGTGATGGCCTTGTTTCTTTCTCTAATCTTCTCCTTCTTCTTTCTTTTTGAATTCTCGAGACTTTGCTTTTCTTTTTTGATATTCTTTGTTGCTTCTGTGTGTTCTTCTGTATGATTGTAATTGCTCTGCTTATTTTCCTTTTCTTTGTTGTATTTCTGTTGTGTGTACTAATTGAGTGAGAGCTGAAAGAATGATGATGATAATTGAGAATGAGTACGAGAGTTACATGGTGTTGTGTGATTCAGAGAATTGTTGTTGAATCATGAACTGAGAGGGTAGTGATATGTTGCAAGGTGGTGGGGGTTGATAGTTTCAGGTCCTCTTAGTTATCGGAATGTTTCAAATATTATTCTACTCATTTCAAATTTTGTACAATTTATTTGGATGATGTTTCTACATTGTACTTGTGGTTACACTGCGAGCTTATGAAAACTAATGTGGATGATGTTGCTGCATTTGCGGTTGTGATATTGTTCAAGGACATGTGAAACCTTTATATTGTGAAAGAAATTAGGAGCTGAATACATAACTCAGTTGAAAAGTTTCTAGAAGTTAGAAGTTTGTTTAAACTTGCCCTAAGATATTGCCTATGTGAAAGAAATTGTATAGTGTAATTTTGAGACTTCGAAAAAACACACTTTTTTTTATATTATATTAAATGGTTAAACCTTAGTTGGTTATATATGTTATCCATAATATACTACTACACCTTCTATATTTTAGGGACTGAAAATGAATCCCGCAACTCTTCTTGAAAAGAAATACATATTACAATGAAGTTCTAAAAATGCAGCCACAAGTTGAAGATATATTGATGGAAAACAAATGATCTTTTTGTTTGAGGAATCAATTTAGAGAGTATAAAAGTTAACATCATGTTTTTCCCTTCGATTATGTATATGTACTATGTAGGTATATCATATATATTTTGTGCTGCTGTTATTGATGTACTCCGACTCTCTAAGACAGTTTCTATATGTTGCACTTTGAAGTTTGAATTTCAAATATTCATTGCTGAACCTTTTCGTTAGGGTTTGTTTTCATCCTCCAATTTTGTGATGGGGTTGAAACCGTGGCTACATCCTGCTCCAACTTATAGACCTATAGAAAGATTTTGGGATAAACCGATGAAGGTTTGTGATTTGTGTTGTTGTTATTGCAGGGTAATGCGGAGAAGTCCAGAATAATTATGGTCGGTGATACTTTGAAGAAAGCTGGTGATTCATCTCAGAATAGTCTTGTTAAAGACGTTGGAGATACACAGTATGGCTTCTGATTTTACTTTTTGAGTTGAATGTGGTTTTCAATAATTAAAAGGTCTTAAACACAGATCAAACAGAACAACACCGAAAGCTTAATCCCGCTAGCAGTTCCTGCCGTCGTTCATAGCGCCGGCGTGCTTCTCCGTCAACCTTCTGTTCCACTCCTATGCCGTACGCATTATCTTTTCTATTTTCTTACTTAATTAAAACTTCAACTCATTCTCTGCATATTCTTAATCATGAAATATTCTGATTATAGTTTTCCACTGAATTAAACTTAACAATTTGTTTCACATGACCTTTTATTTTATTTGTGTTAAGAAATATGGTTGAATGGGCTTAGAGTTTAACCATATCTGCATTTTGTAGGCTCTGTTGCGGTGCTACTTTTATGTTTGCTGTCTGTAAGGTAAAATCACTTTTGCTATGCTTGTTTTGCTTGGAATTTGTTGTTTATCTGAATGTTTATGTAAGTTGCCCTATCGAATTGAAACATAATAAGGTTGTATTTTTTGTTGTTGTTATATTTCAATTTTTAATGTGCATTGGTTATGTGTATTCATTATGATTGAAATAATCTAACATCCTGAGACACTTTTGATTTTGATTTTGATTCAGGATACTAGAGTTACATTATTGTTGACTGGAGTGAGAAACATTGACATACTCAGGAAAACTAACAACCTTACTGTGAATTCAAGTATGTCACTGAACTGTATTTTCCTCACTATTCTGTACATATTTTGAAACAAGCTTTTGGTCTTGTTTTTGACGACTTTGAAACACATTGGGCCGGTGTTGAGTGTGATAAATTGAAAGCTCTAATTGTTTCATGGACTAGGGTGCAGATTTTTATTTTGCAAAGATAGTAGAAGAAAATATATTGGCCGAGTGAGGTGCGCAACTGCAGTTCCTGGAACTAGAGAGAGTCACTTTGTCAAAGGGATTGAGCTCACAATATTGCTCATTTGTTATATGATTTATGGATCAGCAACAACTGACTCAGCAGCATACGCATTTCTGTCATGGTCAATGTGGTTTTTGGTTAGCTCTTGGTTGTTTGCTCCTTTCCTTTTCAATCCATCAGGATTTTAATGGCAGAAGATAGTTGAGGACTGGGATGATTGGAATAAATGGATTAGTAGTCGAGGTGGTATTGGTGTTTCTTCAAACAAGAGTTGGGAGTCATGGTGGGATGAGGAACAAGAGTTAGGAATAAATGTAACATTTTTTGTAATTCTCTCAAGTTGTAGCAAACCAATGTAAATATTAAAATGAAATTTGGCCTTTGATGATATTTGAATTTTTCTTGTTTATTGGTAAAATTTGCACTTCTTTTTACCTTTGATCACGTTTTTTTGATATTATTGATGATTATTTGATATTAAATGTTTTTATTGTAATTAACTTTATTATGTTGAAAAGTGATAGAAAATAAAATAAAAATACTATAAATAAAAAAATATTAAAGTAAATAATAATTTAAATATAATAGTAAAATATTATAGTAAAATAATATTATATTTAAAATTATTTTACTAAATAATAATTTAAATAAAAATATTATTTGAAATTTATAAATCAGATTACGACGGTTAAAACCGCCGCAATTTCTAACCTACGGCGGTAGAATAACCGTCGCAAACAACAACAAAAACAAAAAATAAAGTCAAATTCACGGCGGTATATAACCGCCGCTATTTGTTGTGCGTGACAGTTTTTGCAACCGTCGCGAAATAGGCTGGGGACGCACGATTCTGCGACGGTACTTCTACCGTCGTAGATTGTAAATTGCGACGGTACTTCTACCGTCGTAGAGTGTAAATTGCGACGGTTTTAACCGTCGTAATCAGCCAAAATAACCGTCCCAATCTATCATTTTTCTTGTAGTGCATCCTCACATTATACTCTCTACTGCAATTATGATTGTCAGTTACTTTCCTTATTTTCCAGGTTTCCTCATTTAATAACTTGGAAAAATAAACCTCCCACTCACAACCTTCCTTACATCTCACCCTCATCCTTTTCTTATCATTTTTTATGGTATTGAGGGCTCTTCCATTTTGAACAGCATATGAGTAAATTTCTTCCTTAATGTCATCCTTTGAAGTAAAATACATTCCTAATTCCCATTTGTAATTAGCCATATCTTTTATCTCTTTGAAAATTGGGTATTTATTCCTTTTAACTCCACTACTATCATCACTGTCACAACCACTTTGAAGATCCTCACTGTCATTGTCTCTCCCCTTATATTCCTCTGTATCTTTTCTACACTTTCCTTTTCCTTTTCCTTTTCCTTTTGATATTTCATTACTGTCATACACAGTCATGTCTGCAATTTCATTTTCATCAATGTCCTCATAACCATCAGATTCATCGTCCAAGGCTACTTCTAGGGCACTATCATACTGGTAACTCTCATCCTCACTGTCATAAGAATTGGATTCATCGTGCACCTGACCATCAGTATTTGACTCCACTTCAACATGCTCCACTTTAACATTTGTTGCTTCCACCCCTACATTTGCATCATTCAATCTAACATTACTTTGTTCCACCACAACACTTGGATCATTCAATCCATCATTAACTTCATCCACACCAACAACAGACTCCTTTAACTTTCCTTCATTGTCATCATGCAACTTGTTAAGCAACTCCTCCATCTCATCTACAATGTTCTCAGGCTCCTCAACAGGACCATCACAATACTCGGGTTGAGACAAACTATGTTTAATGTAAACATGAACAATATGGTGCACCCTGTATAGGTCTGTAATTTCTAGGGAACCTTTGTCATAAACTAGTTCATTCATCCCAAATTGTGGGTCTTTGTAATACATTTTCTCTACATTGTCCGTATAACCTAAATCTTTCAACACACCAACTAACTTGAAGTAACTTCATCTATCAACATCTACTGACAATTCAGATACCAGGCGTCCTTCATAGACACTAAACTCTGGATCAACGAACTCACCACTGTGGTGGATTATGAGCTTCAGAAATTCATCCATTAAACCTAAGTCCCATTACAAATATTCAGTTACAAAGACACAAGAATAACATACCTAAATCCCCAAATCCCTAAATACCAATATCCAACAAGTATGAGAATAGTTACCTGGAAAGCAATCACCTTCTCAAGCTTCGTAAGCCTCTTCACAAGCCTCTTCGCAAACCTCTTCCTCTTTCCACTTCGCAAGCCCTTCCTCTTTCCTTTGGCTTTCTTTTTGGTCAAATTGAACATGCATATGATATCTTGAGCTTTGGGAGATTGTCTGTCCTTATTCTCTGCCATGTTGCCACCAACAAACCACTTCAAGCATGACAAATGCCACCTGGAGTCTGCTTTTTGTATTTAACTAACGTTTCACTAACGGAAGGACTAACGTGGTTGCGTTTTGAGACTTAAGGGACCAATTTGGCACAAAAAAAAGATAAGGGACCAAAGTGAACCATGACCTATAGTTAAGGGACCAAAATAAGTATTTTGCCTATATAAAAATATAAATTGTCGTTTTTTTATTATTATTAATATTTTTTGTATTCTGTTTTATAATATAAATTACATATATTTAATAAATATAAAATAAATTTGTATAATATATACATAATTTTGTTTTAAATAAAATTCTAAAATATATTTCTGTTTTATTTTTCATTTATAAAAATTATAATATTAATCTACTAACAACTTTTACAAAATAAATATCAAATTTAACCTAAATAATCAATCAATAATCCTGAAAAATATCAAATTTAAAAAAAATTACAAAAATACCTCTCTTAAATCTCCTTCAATCTTCTTGTTCTATCTTTTTCAAATCCTCTTAAATGTTCTTCAATCTTCTTCTTATCAATTTCTTGAAAAAAAATTAACATAAATCATTATCATATTACAGAATAAACATTAATCAAAATTATAAAATAAAAAAATTGAAACAAAATTAGAGAAAATGATTACCTTTGAAAATTTGAGGTGGAATAAAAATCAAAATTGGAGAAGATAGAGTTAGAAGGAAGAAGATGAAACAAAAAAGGAAGAGGGAATGAAAGAAGAAAGAAAAGATCTGTGAAATGAAAAAATATATATATAAACAGTCAGTGACGTGATAATCACGTCGCAACCTTGCCACGTGATTATCACGTCGCAGCATCTCCAACGGTCATAAATTTTATTTATGACTCTGCATCCACTGTGCGCAGTCAACATCAAGCAAAAAGTTTTTCCCCCTAAAAGGTTGCGACGTGAGTTTCACGTCACAACTTGAAATTTGAAAATTTCAAACTTCCCACCATGTGCAGGTTATAAGTTTCTGAATTTTACATTTTAATTAATAGGTTGCGGCGTGGGATTCACATGGCAACGTTTTTTATATAAAAAAAAATTCCTGACTCCTCATTTGTTAATGCTACTTTTTATATTTTATTATTAAAATTATGTAGCAACGTGATTATCACGTCGCAACCTGCCACGTGATAATCACGTCACAACTTCACTTCACTGTGGAGCATTTATCTTGTAGTATTTGACCATTGGATAATTTCCTATTTTAAAGAAAAATATTTTTTTATATAAAAGAGGTTTCTCCTTAATTATTTCATTTTATATTAGATTTGTGTATAGAAAACTTTATAATAGTTTTCTATTATCTTTCTTTATAAAATATTTTTTCACTGGAATAGTGCTGGAAGACTAAAAAGTTGTTCTAAGAGTTGTGTTGTAACTAGTGTTGCGTTTAATTTGGTTTATTCAAGAATATGACTCTTTTGTGTAATACATTTTGTATATGATTTCATGGTTGTAATCTAAACCTGAAAAAAAGGTTAGGTGAAGGTTCTTGAATTCCGTCAGTGTAAAATATTTGTTTGTTGTTGAAGGTTCTTGGAATGATCCTCTATAAAAGTTAAAGTTTTAGTTGAAAAATGTTTTGGGTTGATCCAGTAAAACCTCAAATTTCAGTTTAGTGGAACTCTTAAGAAAAAACTCTTTGAGACATGAGTAGGTCATGTGGTTAGAATGAACTTGTATAAATCTTTGGTGCAATTTCTTTATCGTTTCTTTCACTTTATTTTCTATTATTTATTTATTTATTTATTTTCTTGTCGCGTATCTATCTTGTTCTTCATCTTCCTTCTACATTTTCACTACTATCTCTTGGTTGGTTTTTTTAAATATATTTTAGGGTTAAATATAGGTACCCCTATAATGTGAGCAAGTTTTAATTTACCCCCTGAATTTTTTTGGGTCAGCAAATTGTACGGAGTAACATGTATTTAATTAACCATATATTTTTATATAAATATTTTTAAAAACTAAAATTTTTATAAATTAATTTAGAATTTTGAATATCACAATTCACACCCACACCCCTCTTGTATTTTAGTCACTTAGTCAACAATATATTTATAAAGGATTTAAAGGTTTCAAGATAAACCTGAAAAAAGTTTCGATGAATATTCTTGAGTTAAGATTGTCTAAAAGTTCTGTTTGTTGGTTGTTTAGTTAAGCATGTGTAAAATCTCTATTTTTCTTACAAGGTAATCTCAAAGTGTTGTTAAAGGTTGTTTAAGTTGATCTTGTAAAAGTTCAAAACAAAAAATTAGTGGAATTCTCAAAAAGAAACTCAAGGGAACATGAATATGTCAAATAATTAGGCTGAACTTGTATAAATGTATGGTGTATTCTCTCTATCCCTTATCTATGTATCTTCCTTTATTTATTTTAATTTTGTTGCATATCTCTCTTCTTCTTTATCATCATTCTACCTTTTCACTATTATCTTTCTATTTATTTATATCTTCTAATATAAACGTTTTTCAAACTTATTTTTATAAATTAATCTTGAATTTTAAATATCACAATTCATCCTCCTCCTCCATACACTTTTTATGTTTGAAATCACTTGATCAACATCAAGTAGACTCATAAATGAACGGATTCATGTAATTAATAGGTTGATTTCTTTTGGATCAGCAAGTTTGCGCGTCGAACTCACACCCAGGATACCCCATGTGACAACATATTGAACCTCGAAGAAAAAGATTTAAAAATAGGTGAGTCTTTTAAACCATATACTGCTAATATTATTAATGCTTCAAAACCAATTTCTTCCATTCGTGTTGCTCCTAGTGAAATCCATTCCACAATTTGTTGGGGAGAACACATCTAAATCTATTTAAAAAATCTATGATTAGATTATAAAGTGTATGATATGTGTCTTGTTGAAATCAATAAATTAAATGCTGATGACTTGAATGGTAACTGTAAGGAGCGGATCGTTGTCGTGTAGTTTCTTTCAGTCTTTTGGCCTCCCTTCTTCCAACAAAAAAATCTATCATTAGGTCATCTATGGTAGAAAACAAACATCCCCTTTGGTTGATTTCCATTTGATCATGGAACCCCTGTAAACACCATTGTTGATCCATATGTGGAACAATCTTCAAATTAGATAATTTACACTAAATTTATGCATGTGGAACTTACTACATCTGAAGAAATTTTGAAACCCCCACTTTCACATGATATATCTCATGCATCTATTCCATAACTGAGTTTTAAGCATTTAATTCACATGGTTTTTTTATCCCTCAAAGTTAAATAAAAACCCCCATTAAATCACCTACTCCATTATGCCAAGACAATCAAATAATATCAATCATTATATTAACAAAACTCGATTCCATTATTACCTTTAACACCTCAACATTATCAAATGCACCTTTCGATAATTTCCCCACCTGCTAATATCATGTGACTCTCCATCTCAATCCCGACATGCAACTTTCATGAACATTCCTAAACCGTCCAACTACCACAATTTCTCATAATCGAGTTCACCATTATTTTGTATCAAATTCACTACTTAAAAAAAAATACATTTCCCCTTCAAACATGAAATACATTTATCTTGAGATAATAAAAGACGTCACTAGAAATATCAACTTATATATTTCATTTTTAAAACACTAAAGAAAAATGATAATGTACATATCGATTATCAATAATACCGTAGGATAAGATTGATATTTTTTTTAATATCGTTACAAATTATTAAATATTAATAAATTAATTATTTATCTATAATACTATATATTTTATACATAATATTTTTGTAAATATATATATAAAAAATTGGAATCCAGATTTTAGATCTCGTTTTAATGATATAATGGATCCTTTTAAATCCGATTATCAATAATAATGTAGTATTAATGGATAAACAAGGATTTAATAATATATATGTAAAAAAATTGAAATCCAGATTTTAGATCCTCGTTTTATTGAAATGTCGGGCAAAAGAAAATATTAGTTACAATATATTTCAGATCTCTTTCGTATTTATTTATTTATTTATGATATAAAACAAAAAGGATTAATCAAATAAATAAATCTATTTATAATATATTAAAACAGACTCCAAACCTGTTTTACTGACATCTCATAATTTTTGTGTCACGTAATATTATTTTTGCCACATCATTGATAATCTTATGTGTCATTATCTATATTCATAATTTTTGTGTCACGCAATATCATTTTTGCCACATCATTGATAATCTTACGTGTCATTCACTATATTACAGTATTACCATTCCATTATTCTTATCATTCCCATTATCTAAATAGTTCTTTGGAAATTCATAAATTTCTCTGCTACTATTAGTTCTTCGTAACTATTTTGTCTACAATTGTTATTCATTTTCTATTATTACTTTATCTTAATTGATTTGTCTACCATTTTTAATCAAAATTTTATGATTCTAAATAGATGTCTTTCTTAAAGTATAATATAAATTTTGATTATGAGTTCAAATTATAGATGTCTTTCTTAAGTAT